ACTAGCACCTAGAGCAGCAGCCTCTATACCTAGGTCAGGCGGCACACACAGGTAGCAGTCACCCTCAGCACTAACAGACAGAGCATACATAGCAGCAAGGATAGCATCAAAGTCACGATCAAAGATACCAACCTGCGTCCTAAGCAGCTCTGCCCAGCGGGGGAGCTCAGCCTCGTCACCAAACTTTGTGCGCCAAGCGTCGTCTAGGCGGGAGAAGCAGCGGTACTGAGTGTGAGGCTTCCCGCATGTCTGACCAGCACGGTCACCCGTGCGAATGACATACGGGCAGCTACCACTACCCGCAGACGCCCCAAGTTGAGAAAACCACTCACGAAGCTGCTGGGGCGACGGGGTCCCGCTCTGACGCTGCTGCTGCTGCCTCTGGCCAACGCCAGAACCTCCCCGCTGAGCAGCTCCAGTCCTACCACCACCACTCCCACTACCGCCACGACCGCCACCCCCATCGCTGCCACCACCGCCTCCGCCAAAGCCTCCACTCCCGCCACCACTCCCACCACCGCCACCACCTCCACTGCCTCCAACACCTCCACTGCTGTCCCCACCACCACCCCCATTGCCACCGACACCACCCCTGCCACCCTTGCCCTTGCTGCTGCGGCGCTTCCCACTAGCAGAAGCAGCCCCGACATCGTCAGCACCAAGGATGTCAACAGCAGCAACAGAGGCGTAGGAAGGGGCAAGGGGGGAGGCGGAACACCCCTCATAGAAGGGCGTGCGAGGAGTGCCACGAGCGGCACCTACAGCGACTAAACTAGTCTCAGCTGCAAGGAGGTGCTGCTCGAGTAGGTCAACAGTGAGGGCTGTTGGGTCAAGTGCGAGAAAGTGGTCCCTGACAGCACGAAGAGAGTCAGGGAGGCGGGTGACTATTAAGTAGAGAGTGATGTACATCGGGGGCGGGTTCTTGGCAAGGAACTCTTCTGGGAGGGCAGCGCGGTAGCGAGCGACGCTAGTGCGAAGGTGGGAAACTAGGTCCTCTACTGTGGCAAAGGCGGACAGCTCGGGAAACAGGTAAGGCAGTAGTAGACGGCCTAGAGCAGCAGTGGCGGGCGAGGAGTAACGGGCGACTACATCGTCGTACAGTGCCTGTGCTGTCCTGTGCTGTCCGAAGTGAGCGCATTCTGCTAACGGCAGATGGTTGCGAATGGCTAGGCGAGCAGCAGCGTCACGAGTAAGCCACTTTGAGCGAGTCGCACTGTCAGTTGTGGCGGGAGGGGCGGGAGCGGAGCCAGACGTGTGGTCAAACAACGAAACGCTGTCTCTAGAGTCGCTCAGTAGGTATAGCTGTAAGTCGTCAAGCCACGTGTCGAACTGGATCGGGCGGCCCTCATGATCGAACGCGAGAACGCGGAGAGAAGCCATAGCGGCGCAGCACGCAGGGCGGGTAGAAGCCGGGCAGCGAAGAGAACAAGGCAGGCAACAGCAAGGGGCGGCAAGCAGGCCGCAAGAGGCGGTGCGCAGGCGGCAAAAGGGCGGCTCGGGGGCCTAGGGGCTGCGGGCGGGTCGCAAGGGGCGGCTCGCGGGCTGCAGGAGGCTAGGGGCAGGCCGCAAGGGACGGCGCGCGGATCCTTGGGTCGACAGGCGGGCCGGGCCTAGGGTCGACGGGAGGGCCGGGCCTAGGGTCGACGGGGCGCGGGCCGGGGCCTAGGGTCGACGGGGCGCCAGGGCCTAGGGTCGACGGGGCGGGCCGGGGCTAGGGTCGACGGGGCGCGGGCCGGGGCCTAGGGTCAACGGGGCGCCGGGGCTAGGGTCGTCGGGGCGCGGGCTGGGGCCTAGGGTCGATGGGGCGCCGGGGCTAGGGTCGACGGGGCGCGGGCCGGGGCCTAGGGTCGACGGGGCACCGGGGCCTAGGGTCGACGGGGCGGGCCGGGGCTAGGGTCGACGGGGCGCGGGCCGGGGCCTAGGGTCGACGGGGCGCCAGGGCCTAGGGTCGACGGGGCGGGCCGGGGCTAGGGTCGACGGGGCGCGGGCCGGGGCCTAGGGTCGACGGGGCGCCGGGGCCTAGGGTCGACAGGGCGCGGGCCGGGGCTAGGGTCGACGGGGCGCGGGCCGGGGCCTAGGGTCGACGGGGCGCACGGGGCCAGGGGTCGACGGGGCGCGACGGGGCCTAGGGTCGACGGGCGGGCCGCAAGGGGCGGGCGCGCGGGGCCTAGTGTCGACGGGCGGGCCACAAGGGGCAGGCGCGAGGGGCAGCAGGTGCGGCACGAGGGTCGATAGGGCGGCTAGTGGGGCAGCGCTGTGGTGTGCAAAAAAAAAACGGTCCTAGCGAAGGACCTGCTCTGAAACCATGTCAGAATAATGAACGAGAATGAATGAACTATGAAAGAGTTGGGTACAAGTACTAACCCTAATTGGGTTGTACCCCTCATGGGCTACCCCACTATAGCCTACACAAAGTAAGCACTATAACATTCTGACAGACTGCGCATTCAAAATTATCCTCATACCGTACCGTTCTCGTTGCATCTGTTGTGAATGCTCTACAAAAACCTGCTACTACATTGGCACCGTGGTCGTCATAAACAGTACTCTCTTTATGTAAGTATCTCTCGGTACACTCGATGATAAGATAGACTATCATAGCAGAAAAAACACCTCAAGTCTTGTAAGCTCATAATGGTAGGCAAGGTAGCATGAGAGACCTCATATGTAGAGTTTATTCACTCTGAACAAGCCGGAGGACCCGCGCATGCTTACAGAAGTCACTGATGCGGAAATTCGTGGAGAGGAAATGGGAAGGGAGAGTGGGGGGAGGGGGTGAGTAGGGGACAGGGAAAGGGGTGTGACCGAGTTCAGGGATTATAGACCATGACGCAAATTATCAGCTTCACAAGCATTCTACACGTGTATGACAGCCGACACATGGAAGGTCAGATGCAGAGTCACTCAGACTGCCATGGAATTCATGGAAGAGTGATTATGTATTGGGTCATCAGTGAGGGAAACGTGGGAATTCATGGGAGAGTGCATGGGAGGAAGGGGCGTTTGAATGGAGGGAGGTGGAGGAGCAGGAGGAGGAGGAGGAGGAGGAGGAGGAGGAGGAGGAGGAGGAGGAGGAGGAGGAGGAGGAGGAGGATGATGATGAGAAGGAAAAAAAAAAAGTCAAGAAGTACAAGAAGGAATCAGAGGATGGAGCGGAAAGAAAGAGTGGAAGCACACTTACGTCCATGTTCCGTCCCCCACAAGCAGCGTGTCCCCATCACTGTCCTCGTACACCAGGCGCCACCCCGCCAGCACGTCACCACCATCTTCTGACTCACTAGCAGCACCAGCACCACCCGTACCAGCAGCAGTGCCAGTGGCAGCAACAGCACCAGCAGCCCCGCCACCGCTGCCCTTAGCCTCGGTACCATGTGCACGCGCCCTCGCTTCCCTGCCTGCCTTGAGTGCCGGGCCAAACATGGCAGCGATGTGTGCATGGAGGCTGGGGAAGTCGGAGAAGAGCCCAAGGTACACCGTGCGCGCAATGAGGCACCCTTCTCTGAACACCTGTGGGGACGTGAGGGAGAAGCGAGGGGCGAATGGAGGAAGAAAGGTTCAAAGTGGAATGGGAGGAGGAATAGGAGAGATGGCCTGAAGTGCCTTTCTTGTGCGTGTGTGAGCGAATGTCAGAGTGGCTGGTGATGGATCAAGGTGGCAGTGTTCAAAGCTGGGTGAACAACAAACACTCATTCACTCTCAACGCCCATACCTTCACTCTCATCCTCTTTAGGCTTTGCTGATCATCCTCTTCTTGCTGTTGCTGCTGCTGTTTGTGCTGCTGCTGTTGCTGGTGGTGGTGCTGCTCCTGAGGGTGCTGGTGCTCCTCCTCCTGCTGCCCGTGCTTCACAGAGGACGATTCTGATCGTTGGTTGTCACCTGGCGAGCCCACAATGCACGGCTTCCCACCAGCTGGCAAGCTCTCATCGCTTGGCTTCCTGCCACCTGACGAGCCATCATTGGACACTTTCCCCACAGGAGAATCCTTGCCGGGGAGATTTCCCGTTCCAGAGGCATCTCTGTGCCCGGCACCAGTGCCTGCACGGCCCTCCCCCGCACTGCCACTGGCATCAACCGAGGCTGACAAATCTGGGGTGGGTACAACAGCAACGGCTCCAGCAGGAGAGTGAGCTGGAGCGATGGCAGTAGCAGCAGCATCTGCGGTGATAGCAGGAACAGGAGGAACATTCATGTGTGCTTCATGAGTAGTAAGGGCGTTCTTGGCTTCACTCTCCGCATGCCCAAGCCCGAGAGATAGAAACAGCGACAAAGGGCTTTGGCTTGTATTCAGCACACAACCCCTCTCTCTCGTTTCGCCCCTCCTTCCATCTCCCTCCAAATCTCCATCCAGTCTTGCTTTCTTGCAGTCCCCCACCACAAGCTCTTCCTCTCGCCCAAGCCCGCCCTCACCATACACCACATCCAACGCCCTCCTCTCCCTCGTCCTCTTCTCATTCCCCCCCTCGGCTCTATCCTCTTTCCCCTCTCCGCTCTCCATTCCACCCTCTCCCGTCTCTGCTTTCGCCCCACCCCTCCTCTCCCCCTCGACTAGCCAATCGGCCATTTTTCCTCCTCCCTGCTGCCCAATGGCCAGCCAGTCAACCTGTGAGGAGGCTCCACGTGGCATCCGCTCATTGAGCGGCCTGTCTGCTGAACCAGTTATCCTCGCCACAGTGTCAGCAGCAACAGCTGCTTCCGTGCGTTCCGGGGGAGGAAAGGACGGAGGGCTATTGCCTCGGGAGCGTTGTTGCATGGTGGGGGAGAGGAGATGAGGATGCGATGGAAATGAGGGGGGAAACGAGGAGGGCCAGGAGGAAGAGGATGGATCTAGAGTGTGTTGAGAAGTAGGGGTGTGCATGTCTTTATCGAATGGTGCGTGGCTTGCAGGGCTACTATGCATTTGCCGTGTCTCTGGAGGCATGGGCCCTTGGCTGTGTGCATGTTGGGCTGTGTGGTAGTGAGAGCGCATGTGAGACTCTGTGCAGTTGCCGTGATGGGATCCCTCATGTTCTTGTGAAGACTGAAAGTGGTTGCTGCGGATGGAAGGTGGGGAGCAAAACGGCAGGGAGGGGGGGGCAGGGAAGGAGGAGGGAGTGTGGAAGTGTGGAGTGCGGTGGTGGTGGGAAGTGAAGGGGTCGAGGCTGGTGGTGGAGGCCGAGGTTTGAAGGGAGGAGGGGAGGGGGAGGGAGGAGGAGGGAGGGACTTCTCGGGGCGGGGAGATGTCCCACGGGGAGATGGAAGCGGGCTTGCAGAGCGATGGGTCTGAATCCGACCACGACACCTGGCGGATGGGAGGGAGGCGTTGGGGGAGGATACAAGGAGGAATGGGTGAGGGAGATGGAACAAAGAGAGAGGAGAGGGTGGAATGAGAGAGGAGAGCGTGGAAAGGAGTGGGGAGGAAAAGGGTAGAAGGAGGATGAAGGAGGTGAAGGAAGGAGGACAGGAGAGCAGAGAGGCACTTGATGCTCGCTGCTGGAAGGTACAGGCGGGGTGCAGCAGCAATGCAGGCGAGTGGTAGAGGTGCAAGGAGAGGGAGGAGGAGCAGATGGGAGAGGTGTTGGACAGGATGCAGATAGGAAGTGTGTGGGATTACGCTTGCGAACAAGCACCATGACCAGCGTTGACTGACCTTGACTGAGCGCCACTGTGAGAGCGGCCACACAGAGGAGGTGCTCCCCACTCCTGCCACTATGCCTCGCAGCCTTCAGCCCCGGTGGCATTGGTGGGTGGAACGAAGGCACGGGGGGGGCAGGGGAAGGGAACGAATTGGCCATGAGAGGTCTGTATTGAGAAGCAAAGGAGCAAGCAACATATGCTGAGGCCTTACACCACCGCTACGATAGTAGAAAGCAGGCAGCATTTTCTGCATAGGAAACCTCCTCGTAATGATAGGCATATCGTTGGTGATGCACTCACCTCCTCATGGTGAAGTCTTCAGCCTCAAAGGGCGCTCGGAGCTCTGACCCCGAGCGCAGGTGCTGCTTGCGCAGGAGAGAGAGGCAGAAGGCGGAGAGCGGGATGAGGAAGGGCGCACAGCCCGGCAGCCTGCAGGCGGGAATGGAAAGGAGAGCGATACGGCAAGGGAAGTGGGCAACCAGCATGTGTAGGCGAATATGCCAAGAGGCTGCATCATCGCACAAGTACTAGGCATGGGCACCAAGAGGCTGCAACCAAGAAAAACTGTGTGTGAAAGTGGGTAATAGTCGTGTCGGGTCAGTAATTGTTCTGGTGCGTCGGCTGACTGAATCCTTCAGATCTCTACATAGAGGAGAGGGGACCATGGAGGAGCGGCAATGGGCATGCAACACAAGTACAAGAGGCCGCGCCGCGGCACGCACCGAGGGTGGAACACAACAGTGAAGGGGCACCGGCGCTCATAGCCCATTGTGGCCATGCGCACCGTTCCCTCCACATCCATCCCCCCTGGCCCCATGCTGCTGCCTCCCGTGCCGTTCGCGAACATTCCATAGGCCAATGGCGTGGCGACAGGTGGCACAGTCTTCCGTCTGACACTGACCTTGAGGTAACCGTCCTGGCCCCTGGGAGGGGAGAAACCGGGAGTGGGTGGCGGGGGAAATGGCATTAGGAACTCGGGAATGGGCGGAGGGGGCATGGAAGAGAGGGAGTATGTTTAGCTAGAGGACGCTGGGAAGCACTAGAAAAGTGGAAAATGAAGAGGGAAGGAGGTGGAGAAGAAGAAGAGGAGGCTGATATGGAGCAGTCGCTGCTGCCCCCCAGTGGTGAAACAGAGAAACAAACCCGCTCTGTGAGTCACCCGATGCTCTGCGAGTCACCCGATGCTCTGCGAGTCACCCAATGCTCTGCGAGTCACCCGATGCTCTGCGAGTCACCCGATGCTCTGCGAGTCACCCGATGCTCTGCGAGTCACCCGATGCTCTGCGAGTCACCCGATGCTCTGCGAGTCACCCGATGCTCTGCGAGTCACCCGATGCTCTGCGAGTCACCCGATGCTCCGCGAGTCACCCGATGCTCCGCGAGTCACCCAACGCTACCCAGAAGGATCAAGACACTGACCCAAGTCACCATCCTCCATGCCACCTTTTTACTCCGAGCACACGGCACCAGATGAACATATAAACACAATCAACCCGCTGAGACTCTACAGCTGAGCCAAGAAGTCAGAGATATTCCCCAACCACCCTCCAAGCCAGAGATATTCCCCAACCACCCTCCAAGCCAGAGATATTCCCCAACCACCCTCCAAGCCAGAGATATTCCCCAACCACCCTCCAAGCCAGAGATATTCCCCAACCACCCTCCAAGTCAGAGATATTCCCCAACCACCCTCCAAGCCAGAGATATTCCCCAACCACCCTCCAAGTCAGAGATATTCCCCAACCACCCTCCAAGCCAGCCACATAGGGAGAAATCAAGGGCCCTCGCCTCACCGCACGAACAGAACCCTGTCGCCCGCCACGAGCCCTCGGCTGGACACAAACGTGCTCCACCCCGTCGTGAGGAGGTGCCGCTTGGGCGAGCCTCTGTACACGTGGCGGAAGATCCAGCTGTTGCCGTAGATATCAACGACTCTCAGCCTCTGCGAGGGGATGTCCTGCGTCATGTCCTGTTGACAGGGGAGGATGGAATGAAGGTAGAAAGGGAGGTGGGGAGGAAATTAGGGGATCAAAAAGCAGTTGGAGAGCTCGAGCGGAACAACAAGAGGGGTTGGGAAAGAGGGTGGAGAATGGGATGCACGGGCGCGTTGGGAAACAGGAAGGGGTGGCAAAGATACTAAGAACGCAAAAAACGGAGGACGAACAGGCGACGACACGGACGGGGACGAAGCAAGCAAGCAAGGAAGGAAAAACGGAGACGATGAAGTGGTGCATTATTGGGAGAGCAGTGAGGGAAACGTGGGAGGTCATGGGAGAGTGCATGGGAGGAAGGGGCGTTTGAATGGAGGGAGGTGGAGGAGCAGGAGGAGGAGGAGGAGGAGGAGGAGGAGGAGGAGGAGGAGGAGGAGGAGGAGGAGGAGGAGGAGGAGGAGGAGGAGGAGGAGGATTGGAGGGGCAGCACACCAGCTGAGGGAGGCAGGTGTCAGCGGCCTTGCGAGGCACGGAGAGGCCGCCATGGGTGGAGGTGTCACTGGCTGTGAGCGTCTTGCAGAACATCACCGCCTGCTCCTCCCGCCCCCACATCAGCCCTGCAGCTCCCGCACCACCCTCCTCCCCACCCCCGTCTGCTCTCCCTCTCCCCCCTGCTGCTGCTGCTGCTTCCCGTGTTCCGGCTGTGATGGCCGCTTGAGAAGTAGCCGCCTCAGACTGGGGGAGATTGAACAGAAGAAAGAGTGGAAGACGGCATGTGAGTTAAAGCTGAAGAGGTGGGAACTGAGGCGAGGGAAGAGAGAGTGGAATCAAGATGAAAGGAGGAGGGGAACAGGGAACGAGATCAAGCATCAATCACTGGCGCAACGGTGAGTCGGGCGCTACATGATGTGGAGACAGAGCATGGAGCAATCGTGTGCTCCATTCCGTTGGCATTGCAATGCTTTGGTGGTCAATGCAGAGGCACGAGATATTCACCTCGTCTATTGGGTGTATCTGCAAGGCGGCGCACACGCTGTCGGTGTCTGGATGGGCCTGCACGATGGGGTGCACACAGGCGGCCGCACATGTGCACATTCGAGACGCTTATGCATGCATGCATGCAAGAGCTTGTAACCATGTGCAGACCAGAAATGTCGAAATGGACCAGCACATAAGCAGTGACACAGCAATTTTGGGGTGGATGTACAGGCCTTGGCATGGTGTTTGAGTGAAGCCATGCGCGCGGAGAGCAGAAAGAAAGCACGCACCTGTAGGGTGGCGGCAGTGACGCGGCAGAAGATGTGGCTGGGAGGGAGGGGCGTGTCGGCAGGCAGAGCAGCGAGGTGCGCACTCAAATCCTCCAGCGCCTCACCGTGCAACGCCCGGCCTTGCGCCCTCTGTGCGATGGAGGGAGTGAGAGGAAGGAAGAGAGTGTAATGTCTGAAAAACACCCGTATCGGTTCAGTGGTCTAGAGCACTGCACGATATACTGGTATCAGGAGACTAGGTGCGAATCCCAACTGGTCACATTTTTCAGCCTGACCAATTGCTGATTGAGAGAACTCAGGCAGTGGTGACCCAGCGTCGTACTGGCGAACAATCTAGCTAAGTTGCTGCTTGCATCCCAGCGCTACGCTGACTCCCTCATCAAAAGAGGACGTTGTGACCAGGAGGGGACAGTGGTGTAACGCGTGCGGACTTCCAAGAAGGGCTAACAGGCACTGCTGCGACTCTGACTGACCAGCCCTGTGCTGCGTTGGCTCTGGCGAACAATAGATCGATTGACGGACAGGGGGACGGACCGAGCGAGTGAGGTGGGGAGAAAACGGGCGGAAAGGAGGATCAAATAGACAGAATGAAATGATTGAGGGACGGAAACCAGGGGGGACGAAATAGAATAGAAAGGTGGAAATATCATGGACAGAGCGTGGAAAGTGTTTAGGGAGGAGGGGAGGAGGAGGAGGAGGAGGAGGAGGAGGAGGAGGAGGAGGAGGAGGAGGAGGAGGAGGAGGAGGAGGAGGAGGAGTGAGGAAGAGAGGAAAGTGATGCACGCGCAGGTAATGCATCCGCGTGAGTGTAGGCAGCAAGGCGTGGAGGAACGCAGTACCTGTTGGAGCAGCACTTGCTGCTCGATGTGTCCCTGAGGGAAGTACACAGCGAGCGACCCCACAGCAGGCACCAGGGCCAGCGACCCAGCCGCCACGTGCCACAGCTCCTCGTCCCTCGCCTTCACGAAAGCGTCTCTCGCTTCCCCTCCCCGTCCCACCCCCAGTGCACGGGCTGATGACCCGCCCATGATCATGACGCCGTGGGATGGCCCGCCGTCACGAGTGTTGACTGCATCGTGTCTCTCGCCCATCCTCGCCGGCACTGCTTGTGGCTCACGCGGTGGGTGGACTAAGGTGCGTGGATGGGGGGGATGAGCATGTGGCGGCGCAGGTGACAGCACGTGCGAGGAGGCGGCGACAGTGTAGGCAGCCGGCGCGAACACACAAACACACACACACGCACACACACACACACACACACACACACAATCACGCACACACACACACACACACACACACACACACACACGCACACACACGCACACACACACAAAGCGAAAAAAAAAAAACAAACAAACAAACAAAACAAAATCAAACATGATCCATGTTATAAGGCGCTTTGAATGAGATCGTAAACGTTCAGAGCCTTCATCATATCATGTCGTACAACGACATGATCTAGTAGATCATGCAACGTTCAGAGGGAACTAGATATTATCTTTAAAGAAGTTGCTATCCTGGATCTGTCTCATACTGAGTACAAAGTGAGATAGGTCTGCAGACCTTTTCATTTGAGACATTAGTGTGACAGCGTTTAGACAATAGTGTGACAATTGCTGGTCTCCCAGATCCGGGATCCTGGTCTTTCGAGATTTACAGGTGTTATTCGAAGTAACCACCGGAGCCCGAGTCCCATTACTTGCGAAGCATTGGTCGCCGCCTGAAGGAACGATGTCAGACTCCGAGAACCGTGGCGGAGGGAATAGCCAAGAGAGTCGGCCATCCGGGTTCGAAACTATGTTCGCGGACCGCGGATCTGTCTGTTTCTGCACCCTGATACTGGTAGTCACAGTAGTGTCCGACATTGTCAAATTCAGTTTCTCAGCTTCGGAAACGCAGGCTTGCATGAACGACGCCGAATCCGCGTGTTTTGGTGTTAGGTGTTGCACTGAAGGTGCACGAAAAGTTATCTCGTAGCCGCTTTTGTGGTCACGTAGTGTGAGAGCGTCGGCGAGAGGAGCTTGAAATCTTTCTTGCCGACCCAGCGAGTCGTTGCTACGGTACTGGCGCTCTGTGTGTGGCCACATCATGGACGCATGCGCATGGCGAGCTTCTTTTCGACTTTTTACAATGAGCGTGGAACAAGGGGTACAATCCTCGGAGAAACATCGTGGTCTCGGTCGGTCAGTGAGACCGTGGAGGAAACCCTAGGACAGGAGAGGACCTGCTTGCGGGACAAGTTTGTCAACCTGTTGATTTCCTGGTTGCTGAAGGAACCAAGACAAGCCTGCACCATGGCTCAGGATGACAGGGTGTTTTTCCCCGCCTTTCAGAGTGTTGTTTTAACGGACCAAGGCAGCCTGTCAGCAAGGCTCATCTCACCTTAGATGTGCTCACTTTTTTCAGCTGGAAATTATGAGAAACACTGAAATACCTCAACTTAGATACAGCGAGTCGCACCCTGCTGAGTAATTTAGCCCCCGTTTTTTATGGAATAGGATCAACTTTTAGCCCTATGGGTACCAATTATGGGTACCAATTTGGCTGAAGTTGACAGCCAGCCACAGAAAACAAGCTTCAATTGGCCGAAGTACGAATTGGATGAAAGGAGAGCGAGCAGCAACAGAGATTCGGGAATGAAGCAAGACGGTGTAATTCGGGTCAGTATAAACACGGCTTAGCTCTCCAGCCGTGACTCCGTGTCACACTCTAGCGTAATGGTGTGGTGTATTCGTCAACCTCGCAACCCCTCCCAGCACACGGAGGTTTCACACTGGCAAATTCGCCGAGTTCGCGAGAAACACGGAGAAAGTGTATTCATTAAATTTCCACACTGTCAGTTCGGAGACGGTAGATAGAACATCCCGTAATTTATTGGTTATACCGAGCCTAAAAAACTGCGATGGCAGGGTGAATTGGACTGAAACTCCAATCCTGCACAGTACCTCAGAGCAACATGTCGGGAGCCCCGGCCAGACCGCGAAAAGCAGTACAGCGGCCACAGACGTCAAACGAGGTCAGCATCTACAGATGTCAATGCTCTTGCACACACAGCAAGGTGTATGCCCGACCAGATTCACTGTGTATGGCATGTAGGCTCTTCAGCGAAATAACGTAGGAAAATCCCTCTTGGAGTCAAGCACTGTAGTAATCATTAGTAATCGGCACTGTGGAATTTCGGTCGGTAGCTGCTAGGGCAGATCTAGTGTAGCTGTACAGCATTCATAGTCCTTGGTGTACTCGTTACCACCAAAATCCCCTAACCAAAACGTGCCCTGGAACAACTTTTTGAAAATCTTTGCACCCAGATGCCGCCCCCAAAAACAAGAGGGCAGAAAGGACAAATACGTAGCTCAGCAGTGCCGGCAGACAAATGTGTCGTACGAGAAGAAGGCATTTCTGGTTGCATGAGGGCGGGTCATTTTCGTTTTGTGTGATCGGTGAAAGGGATATTGCTCAAAAGCAGCGGGACTGCATACACTTGTTGCTACGGGGGGCTCTGCTCCACTTCTAGTTCTTGAGAAACACAAAACTGTATATTCAGTTGGGCGAGGAACCTGACGGATTTCGTTGAGATACCAGGTCGAACTGGCAGCAGCAGCCAGGTTCACATCACAACACAACTTGCCGCCTTTCAGATTTGAAAGTGTCGGGTTGTCTGAGAGAGCCGGTCTGGTCCTTAAACTCAGCTGTAGCATTGCTGTACAGAAAAAACCACCACACCGAGCAAGGTTTACCTTGTCCCGCAAAACTCCGGGCAGTTCGAACGAGAACACGGGGGTCCTTGTTCACAAGGTTTACCTGTGTTCTTCGTGTGCTGCTCCGTCTTTCTCAAGCACTGCCGTGAATCACTACGGTACAAAAGCTGCCACATTCACGCCCTCCGATATTTCACAGCTCAGCTTTTACTTCGCAAGCTAGCAGCATGTCTAGTACACACGATGCTCGTTTGACTAACCCATGGTTGCATTGTGAAGAGGGCTTTTAAAATGTCCTCGGCATTTCGCAAATTTCGTCAACGTATATCAAATAAGGGCTTATAAAAACAATGTAACTCCCCATTGACGGTTTGAATTCAGTCTCTTCTGTTTGACTTCGGTTTCTGTGATTCGTATTGGTTCATAACCACTGCAGCTTGCTCGAGGGGCCTGTAATGTGGGTGCAACTGGCTGGTAAAAACAACACGGGCGTAGACTTTCCATCCGGAGCTGGACAAATTCGCGCACAGGGGCTGAGCATCGTGTGTACAGTTTGTGGACGTTGACTTGTAACGACTGGCACTTGGAGTGGTCTCCATCATAACGCCGGGATTGTTTATGAGAAATTTCAGACCCGAAGTACAATCACAAGGGTCCGATACAAGCTGTGTGTTATCAGTCGAAAATGCAATACCTAATATGTGACAACAGAATGCTGGTACAAATGAAGGCTTACTCAAACCTAATAGGGCCCTTGCTCATCGGGGACCTCAGAACTTGAGGTTTGGTGTTGGGATGACCAACATTTTATAATATCAATCCCTAATACATCAATGTAATTCACTACCTCATATAGATAATGTGCACTACCGAGTATCGTGTTATACTCATATGGAGCATGCGATAATTGGAAAGTCACCAATCAGAATCTCAGAAAGAGAACATAACGGAATGGATTGATTAGGAAAGGAAGTGGGTACAAATGCAAAGCCTAACAACCTATGCTCTCTAATGCATGCATCACTACATACAAATATATATGTTTGACACACCTTTTTAGGCTAAGTGAAGGATAGCAAGAGATAGCAATAAAACACACATGGTCACAAGACCAATCAAGAGAAGCAACAACACAACACTCAGGGTGGATCTCAAGATCACCACATATTTCGAGCACAAACAAATGACAACAAGGCCAGCTCTTAAGGTTACAAATGTATAAAGATGCAAGGACAAGCAGAGGAAGCAACAAGGAAAAATGCTACAGTAACCTAGCACCAGCGTCAACAAGGCCTTACTGCGGGCAGAATCTGTGGTGATCATCACTAGGCACTAGGCATTGGTGAAGATGTCCGCAGTGTTGGCCTCTGAGGCTACGAATGTCAAACATATGTATATATATGTTATAGTTGGGTAGGCTTAGTGGGGTACACACTGTGGGGTACAACCCCTTAGGTTTCTTCTTTGTACCAACCCTCTCGACACTCGACATCACTTTTGCCTATGATTCTAACATGGTATAGAGCATAGGTCCTTAGGACCTAGGATTAGGGCCCACCACGCTTGCCTGCCTTGTCTAGTGCCTACGCGCGCCTCGGCTGCCCGCGCGCGCCCCGGGCGGTCCTTTTTTTTTTCCCACGTGCGCCGCTTCAGCAGCCCGCGCAGCCCGTTTCGGCCCCACCTGTGCGCCCCTTAAGCCGCCCGCGCGCAACCTGGTTAGGCCACGCCAGCGCGGCCCGTCGCCCAGCGCAGCCCGCAGCTTAGCGACCAGCCCGCAGCCGCGCACGTGTGACCCGTCGCCCAGAGCAGCCCGCAGCCGCACGCAGCTTGCAGCCGCGCACGCTGCCTGTCGCCACGCGCAGCCCGCAGCTGCAAGCAGCCCGCAGCCCGCGCATTCCGTCGCCGCACGCAGCCTGCGGCCGCGCGCGCTGCCCGTAGCCACGCGCAGCCTGCAGCCTCGTGCAGCAAGCCGCCACACGCAGCCAGCAGCCTCACGCAGCCCTCAGGCCGCTCCTGCCTACTGCCTGCCTGCTGCCTGCCTGCAGCTTGCTGCCTGCGGCCGCCTGCCTGCTTGCTGCCTGCTGCCGCCTGCCTGCCGCCTGCCTGCCTGCCTGCTTGCTGCCTGCTGCCGCCTGCCTGCAGCCTGCCTGCCGCCTGCCTGCCTGCCTGCTTGCTGCCTGCTGCCGCCTGCCTGCTGCCTGCCTGCTGCTTGCTACCTGCTGCCGCCTGCCTGCCGCCTGCCTGCTGCCTGCCTGCTGCCTGCCTGCTACTTACTGCCTGCTGCCTGCCTGCTACTTGCTGCCTGCTGCCGCCTGCCTGCCGCCTGCCTGCCTGCCTGCTTGCTGCCTGCTGCCGCCTGCCTGCAGCCTGCCTGCTGCCGCCTGCCTGCCGCC